GAGAGGGAGAGAGAGCGGGGAGAAAGAGAAAGCAACAACAGAAAGACAGAGAGACACTACAGAGACACAAAGACACAGAGGCGCAGATTCGAGAGATACCCGGGGGGAGGGGGAGGTTTGCGAGGAGGGGCTGCATATTTAGTATCGCTTCCCATTCAATTTTCCTTTGAAATCTCTGCAAAAGAATTCTGAAGTATCCCAGTTACTGTCATGTAAATGTACGTTAATTTTACCAACATATCATCTCTCTGTGATCAGACGAAACGAGGATAGAAAAACTCCAAAGGGCAGTCAACCATACCAATTAATTAAGGAGGAATGACTGTGTTGTTTAAGAGGGGGGGGAGATAGATGGGGGGGAGACTCTTTAGCTCTACATTTCTCCACATATTTATTTCTAGCTTTGTGGGGGTTTGTCACTAGTTGTTTAGTGAAGTTTGAGAGCGATGCTCAAAAGTCATTCATCCTGTTCATTGAATGACAGCATTGGTCGAGAAAGAACGTACTGTACTGTTTTAGCTACTGTTATGATGTGTCTTATGTTTTTTCATGGCCCTCCTGCTCTATTATGAAAATTATTCAGAAGTTGTTTTACTAACATTTACTCGCAAGTATGATAACTGTCTGTTGTTGAAAGTTAAGTGATAAATTAAGCCACCTTGTGTTATGAGACCTTTGCTCCTGGGCTCGTACAGTATAACACGGATAGGTCGAACACAGAAGACTCGAAATCACGCTTCCGTCAAGCTGTGCCTGCGGTCCCATTTTTTCTTCTTCATCCTTATCTTTGTAAGATATCCCTCAAATTACAGATCCCTCGAACTACCGAGGCCGGTCGCGGCGAATTCGAGCTATCTGTGTTATACTGTATCATGGTTCAACCTTTATTTGTGATTGGGGGAAGATGTTTGTGTTTATTCAAGTGAAGTATCTTTTTTGAATTTATCCTGCTTGAGTGCTTTAAAGGTTTTGGACTTTCCAATCATTGAAAAAAAAATATTGTTATATACCACCATATTTGTACCAAAAATAAAAGTTACAAGACTGAGCCATTCGTTATTCTCTTCGAAGAAACAGAAATTTCTGTCTTGAGAAAAATGTAATGCTTGTTTGGAAAAGCAAAACATAGTGCGAGAACTCTGTCTAAATTGTGACTCTTCTTACAGCGTCAGGCTATTTTTAGCCCTCACTTCCCTCTGGCCCAGCCAATACTTATTGTGTCTGCAATTTTTTGCAAGCATCAGAAAAAATAAATTGACAGCACTCTGCTTTTCTCTGAAGTTTTAGACGATTAATGTGTCGCATATTTTTTACAGACAATTTTCTAGATTCAGGTAAAAGTGTGTGACTGGAATTAAGGTGGCTGGTGCCCTGTGAGGAAGTAAATAGAAATAATAATAATGAAGATCATTTCTATATAGTCTATAGCGCCCACTCCAGTGTAAACACAGCTCTAGGCGCTTTACATAAATGCATGTATGAATAATATTCACGCATGCACACACACACGCGCGCGCGCGTGCACATACACACACACACTCACGCACACATGTGCACTCACATGCACGTCAAACACACGCGCACACGCACCCGCACATTTACTTGCTCATCACATGCACACGCTTACACTATCGTTAGGAAATGAGCACATACAAAAATACATAGTAAAATAATACATGTATACACAATGCAATTCGCAAAATACTTAAATGGATACATAGTCATTTACATAACATTGTACTGAACATGAATCTACTGACATTTGTATACGCAACTGGGCCTGGGGGAATGAGAACTTGTGAGAGAAATATATATATATAAATATGTATTACTGGGGCTGTAAGGTCCAGTACTGTATATAATGCTGGTAGAATGTATTCCAGATATTGCCTACACTTGACTATGATGAAGCACACCCCTGGATCAGAATACCACGACTACAGTGGACTTGCATGTTTACCAAGCGGTGTGAAGAAGATGCTTATGCTGTCCTAAGGTCTTACTGTAGTTCCCCAGTGCGTTTGTTTTCCCTTCATTTCCGTTCCTCATGTTGTTACTGCGGTGAAGCAGAGCTGTGTGATTGCCATGAAACAGGAGTCAATTAAAAAATCTTCTGTACCTTTGTTGTTTTTTTCCACTCCTTCTTTGTTTGCCACAGTAACCCCCCGCCCCACCCCCCACGCCAAAAAAACAAAAACAACCAAGATTGGTTTTGTTTTTTCTTACAGAAGTTTGATTTGGTTTACAATTAACAATGGTGTTCATGTTTACAACTAACAATATTAAACGAAATTTGAAGCAAACATCTATCAGTGGGTGGTTGGTGGGTGCTCTGGTGTGGTTTGCTTCTTCTTTCCTATCAAACAACGATCGTCTTTATCTCCCCTTCTTCTTTTAAAAAAATGTTTTTTAGTCTCTTGTAACACCTCTATTCTTCTGGCGCTCATATGACCATATGCAGTTGCGAGCGCTGTAAAACTTACTTATACTAAAACTTAAAAAAAAGAAGCAAAAAATGGTATTGTTTATTCTTGCAGAAGTTTCGTTTACAATGGTGTTCATGTTTACAACTTAAACTATAAAACGAAATTTGAAGCAAACATCTATCAGTTAGTTCACTAGCACTCACAATATTTTGCGTCACCCAATGCCATGCCCTGTTTTGAGCTGGTGCCTGGTGATAACATATCAACATGTTCTTATGTACAGGAGAATTGTAAATAGGCTGGTTTATCAATGACATGCTCATAATGTGCCGGAACGACTTAGGTGGAGCTGCTGCTTTTCTCTTCTCATCCTTACTATCG